CCCCCTCTCTCCGGACCCCCGGCCCCTGCCATGCCCGGCCTGGGCCGCTGCTGATGGACCAAACTGGGCAGGGACATGCTGGGAGAGCTGCGCCAAGCCCAGACTCCCAGCCTGAGGCAGACGGGTGGAGATGGGGACACGGGTGAGCCCGTGCCAGGGTCGGACAAGCCAGAGCGCCTCCTCTGAGTGCTTCCCCTCCCCACCTGCAGAGGCCTGGCTCAGTCCCCCTCCTCCCCCCCGCCTCCAGCCCATCTTCACTCATCCAGGGCCCCAGGCCCGGCAGCTGCCTGCCCCCGCCCCAGGTTTTCCCGGGTGCTGGCTCTGCTGGCGCCCCGGGTGGAAAACCCTGTGGGAGGGGGGATATTTGCAGACAGAGCAGCATCCGCTCCCTGGCTGGGCCAGGAGCCCCGGCTCCTTTCCCAGGAGCTGAGTTTGGCTGGGGGGCAGCGTGTTTGTGTCTTGGCTTCCCCGGAGACCCCCAGGAGACTTGCTTCCCCAGGGAGGGGGCTTGGCCGCGCAGTTACTGCCTGGCATCCCCTGGCACTGCCCCCAGCCGCTCGGGTAAGGGGGCTGGCCTCCGCTCAGGGCTAGAGCCGGACAGGAAGTTGATTCTCTTAGGAAAACTTGCCTGAATTCCTCCCTTCTCCCCAGTTTGTGTCTTGGCTTCCCCGGAGACCCCCAGGAGACTTGCTTCCCCAGGGAGGGGGCTTGGCCGCGCAGTTACTGCCTGGCATCCCCTGGCACTGCCCCCAGCCGCTCGGGTAAGGGGGCTGGCCTCCGCTCAGGGCTAGAGCCGGACAGGAAGTTGATTCTCTTAGGAAAACTTGCCTGAATTCCTCCCTTCTCCCCAGTCCTCGCCTCCCGACACACAGGAGGGGAAGCAGCAGGGGGCTTCCCTGACCGAGAGGAAATAGGGCAGGTTCACATTGTACCACCTGGCTGCAGCAGCCCAGAGTATCCTGCAGGGGGCACCCTCTGGGATGCAGGTGGGATTGGCTGCCCCCTGCAGGATTGGCTGTGTCCCACAGCACGTGGGGTGAGCTGGGAGCTCTGGGTGAAGGTGGCAGAGTGGGCTAGTCCTGGCTCCTGCAGCATCAAGCAGCCCTGTGCCCTTGCAGGCCTGGCTCACGAGGGCCAGCTGTACGCGAGTGAAAAGACCATTGGGAACCACTAGGAAAGGGGGAGAGACCGAGACAGAAAACCTCCCAGTGCCACTATGGAAAGCATGGTACACCCACAGCCAGAGGCCTGGGCAGCTCTGGGCGCCCCAGCTCTGCCAGCGGATATTTGCAGTGGAGAAGATACAGAGAGGGAGAGCAACAAAAATGCTGAGGGGCTTGGAACAGTTTCCATGGGAGGAGAGATTAGTAAGACTGGGACTTCTCAGCTTGGAAAGAGACAACAAAGGGGGATAGGCCCATGTAATTGTGCCTTGTGCAAAGACAGTGACCAGGGAAGTGTTATTGACTCCTTCCCAATGCACAAGAACTAGGGGCCATCAATGAAATGAACAGGCAGCAGGTTTAAATCAAACCAAAGGAAGAGTTTCTTCACTGAGCACAGAGTTAACCTGTGGAACTCCTTGCCAGGGGATGCTGTGAAGGCCAAAATGACAACTGGGCTCCAAAAAGAGCTAGACAAGCTGACGGAGGACAGGTGCATCAATGCGATTAGCCAGGACGGGCAGGGCTGCAGCCCCATGCAGTGGGTGTCCCTAGCCTCTGACTGCCAGGAGCTGGGAATGGGCGACCGGGATCACTCGCTCGCCTGTTCTGTTCTTTCCCTCTGGGGCACCTGGCACCAGCCATGGGCAGAAGACAGGACTAGGGCCTGGCCATTCTTATGTCCTTGCTGGGCCGGGCCCTGGCCCTCCTACAGCCCGGCCCCTTACCTGCTGGTGCTCTCTCCCCACCCCAGGTTCACATTCCCAACCAGTGCGAGTCGGGGGGCGTGCGGCTGGCCCCTGAAGAGGACGAACTCCTGGAGGAGCCCAAGGCCAAGGACCCGGCCCTGCTGAAGAAGGACCCTAACTCCTGCTTCTTTGAGGGGCAGCACCGCGCCCACGGCTCTCGCTGGGCCCCTGCCTACGACAGGAAGTGCTCCCTCTGCAGCTGCCAGGTGGGTGCGGGGGCTCCCCAAGGCTGCTGCCAACGGCCTCTGGCGAGCGGCGGGGCTGGGCGTCGGTGTCCAGGCGGCTGCATTTAGCTCCTTAGAGCCCCTGATCCGGAGAGGAGGCTGCCTGCCCCCACCGGTCACTGCAGCCGCCCTGTTGTGGGTTCGAGGGGCTGGACTTGCAGCCAGGGGAACCGGCAGAAGTGACCCAGCCACCGGAGGGGAAGTGCACGGCTCCCCCGCCCCCCGAATTCCCACCTAAGGCTGGCAGCTGCGCTGG